TTTTTTCTTTTTGCTTATGTAGTGCTGAGGAATTGAACCCAGGGCCTCATGCATGCAAGGCAAGCACTCTACCACTGAGCCACCTTCCCAGCCTAAGATGAGGAATTTGTGAGGTTTTATTTTGAAATTAAATCGACATGTTTTACTATCATTTCACAGGCTAAGCCTGCTCCTTCAAAATCCCAGGCCAAACCTGTTGGTGTCAAAATCCCCACTTGTAAGATCACCCTTAGAGAAACCTTCCTGACATCACCAGAAGAACTCTATCGAGTGTTTACCACACAAGAGGTAAGTATATGCTTGTCTGTGGACCCATGCCTCTGCCATTAGAGCTTACAGGCTAAATGTAAATGACTCAGCAAAGGGAATTTTCCCCTTATCCCTCTCCTTTGGAGTCATGTACATGGGAACTACTGGATTCTTGTTAGAAAAGGGAATGGATCCAAAGTAATGATACCATAGATTCAGAAAGAATTATACTGAAGTCAGAGCCTTGGTCTCATGGAGCAGAATAGGGGGGAAGACCAGGACATGCTCACTGGCAGAGAGGCTTTGGAAATGAAAGTCAAGGCATGTGGGATTCAACTGGCCTGGCTCTGGGTCCCATTAAAAGCTATTATATCTCCCTGCCTTTTCTCCTCCTATAGCTGGTTCAGGCCTTTACTCATGCTCCTGCAATGTTAGAAGCAGATAAAGGTGGGAAGTTCCACATGGTAGATGGCAACGTGTCTGGGGAATTTATTGATCTGGTGAGTACTGCTGCCCCCATTGTTGCCTCTGTCTTGTCAGATTAGTGACTTCTCTGCTCTATACAATTTCACTTCTAATTCTCTTCAGTTAATAAAAGTGTTTTCTCTTCAAAAAGGATGACTTTTTGTATAGTTGCACAAATGATAGGCTTCATACAGAAGTCAGGTGGCTAACCCTAGATAGTACCAGGTGCATTACAGTCTCTACTTATTTTAGGTCCCTGAGAAGCATATTGCGATGAAATGGAGGTTTAAGACTTGGCCAGATGGTGAGTAGCATAATTGTTGCTGTTTTCCACTTAGTAGTTTAAACCCTCATGGAAATGCTGGGTCTGAAACATCTCCTCTCCCACAGGGCACTTTGCCACCATCACCCTGACCTTTATTGATAAGAATGGAGAGACCGAGCTGTGTATGGAAGGCCGAGGCATCCCTGCCCCTGAGGAAGAGCGGACGCGGCAGGGCTGGCAGCGGTACTACTTTGAGGGCATCAAACAGACCTTTGGCTATGGTGCACGCTTGTTTTAGGGCCAGCAACTGGGGCTCCAGCCTGCTCAACACTTCAATCCAGCCCACTCCTGACTGGGGCTGTGGCTCACAGGATTGCACCATCCCAACCGCTAACTTGGGGCTGGGGCCCCTCCCCTCCACATATACCTTGGGTTTGTGCATGTTTTCTGCTGGGTGGGATCAGAGGGTGATTCTCTTTTATGTGTACATATGCTACATAAACACAAATTTTAAAAACATAACATTTCTAGAAACTGTTGATTCAACTCCCTTTCAAGATTTTAAAATTAAGAGTTTATAGGTTCTATGTACATTTTTTGAAAAGTGTAGGAAGGAGGCCCAAGGAGAACTTGCCTCTCACCATCAGGCACTCTGATCCGTCTCCTTACACTGCAGACTTGAATCTGCTGCCTTTCACCAGGGCAGGGTAGGGCAGGGCAGAAGCAGTGCTATCACACGTGTCCACCCCATGCTACGGTGTCTGCCTAGTCTTTGTACTCACCATACTTAGCCTCTTACAGAGTGATGACCACTGCGTGCTGGGTTGAAGTGAAGAGAGCTGGAGGCTGCTGAGTGTGGCCGCTTCTGTTGAGAGCAGCTGCTGCATACCTAACACTACACAAAGCCATTTCTTCACATTAGCACATTGAATCCCTAGAAAGTCCTGTGAAGTAGGAGATTCTCATGACTTCACAAAAACATAATCCTCAGGTTTCTTACTTTACAGATACCTTACATGTTTGCCATTGGTAAGCCTTTGGTTTTTTTTTTTTTTT